GTAAATCCTCTGATTTTATTCTTTTTTAAGATGGTTCTGGCTAGTCTCATCCCTTTGCATTTTCATGTACATTTTAGAATCAGCTTGTCAAATTCCAAAAAATAAAGAAAAGAACCAGAAAGAAAGAAAACTGAGATTTTGACTGCAATTGCATTGAATCTGCAAATCAATTTGAAGAAACTGATGCCTTATCAGTATCATGTCTTTCCATCCACAAGTATGATCGTGGTGTATTTACCCTATTTTCCATTTATTTGTGTATTTTTAATTTCTTTAAGCAATGTTCTTCATTTTTATGTGGAGATATTACTATTATTTTATTAAATTTATTCATAGATAACTGATAGTTTTGATGCTATTGTAAATGGAAGTTCAAAAATTTCATTTTCTAATTTTGCCAGTACACAGAAACAAAATTGGTAGTTTATACTGACGTTATACCCAGCGATATTGTGAAAATCACTTACTATTTCTAAGTCTGTGGATCCCTATGGATCCTGTATGTAAACAATCATAACACAGACGACTAATAATAATTTCATTCTTGCTTTCTAGTCATATCTTTTAAAATTTCTTTTATTTGTTTTATTGCCCTGGCCGACATCAACTATAATGCTAAATAGAAATGGTAAGAGTTAACATAATAAGAATATTTTGAAAATCTCGGCATACAACTCTCATCCTCTCAAATTCTGACACAACAGGTTCAAATTGGGAGCCTCAAAAATGGACATTTTATTGTAACAAATATTTCAAGCATTTCACATGATTTTGACATAGGGGTGTCCTAGAAAGACACTATGAGCAATATTTTTAAAGGACAAATTTTACTCACCAAAGCATTTTCCTACTGAGGATGGAATATTATCTTTCTTTCTTCCTCCTTTTCCCACCTCCATCCTCTTCCATAGCAATGATGGGTGTATAAAGTTTTTCTCTGAGTTCCTTATGGGGCCATTTCTCCTACTTTGGCTATAGCTCTGGATATAATATGTATAAAAGGGTCCACAGTATTAAAATATTGACTGGATTTAGAAAATAAAATAATTTCCTAAACCAGCAGTCATATTTTTAAAAAAACAATCATAGAAAGAAAAAAAAACTGTAATTAGAAGTTGCTGAGGTCACAATCGGATTCAATCCCTCCTGTACACACACCTACACAAGCAAACATACAAACAATAATGTGTACGTTACCACATGATGGAAACAGCATGAGAAGAACAAGTAGATTCTAAAGGATACAAAGTTATATAAAATAGACTGGAAAAATACAAAATCACCATAGAAATCTGGATACCATGTGGCTTCCTAATTATGATTAGGTACAAATCAAAGAAATAATGTATTTTATTAAAATAAGAGACAAATATGGCATGGATATTTAAGGAAAGGAGTAGAGATACAAAAATAGCTGTAGAAACTTACAGAGTTTTGGAGGTAGGCAGAGCCTTTCAGGTTGTCTTATTCAACTTCTGCATTTTTATAGCTGAAGTGACAGAGACTCACAAGGGTAGAGTGCCTTGCAAATATTATGATGACAATATTTAGATTCAGGTTCTTAAGGAAGTACAAAAAGTAAGGAAATATGCAATTCTAAATATCATATAAACTGTACCTGCTTTGAATTAATGCAGCCTATTTGATTGTTTGGAATGGTTGGGATTCCCCCACCCCTTGTATTAACATTTTAGAGGATTAGGAACTTAATGTTATTATAACATTAGGTTTATTCCACTTCACTTGGTGGGATAGTGGGACTATTGGGAACAACACCCATCATCCCTGAGTCCCGCCTCTAGGGCTCTTCCACTAATGCCACACAATCAGATATTTTATGATAAGAGGTCATGAATATGAAAGGAATTCCAGAGAATAAAGAATGGGGAAATATTGGAATAAGTCCACTTTTCCAATAAGTCATTTTCTTATACTATTCTTCATAGTGTTCCATGTGTCTTTCTTATACTATGAAGAATAAGGTGGGGAGGTAATACATGGGAAAAGGATCTACTCTGTAAAGGAGTTGTTACAAAGAACTAAAGAAAGACATGGGAAATAAGAGGCAAAGTGAAAAGAGAATAGGAAAAATCACGTGAAAGTTAAAGAAGATGAAAGTAAGTTATGAAAGCCAAGAAATGAAGATAATAATTGGAAATGAACAGGTGATTAAAGATTTCAAGAACATGAAGATAGATATGGTACTTTTATGGCTATTTTTTGTCAACAGTGTATCGATCTGGACTTATTTTTGTTATAGTCTGTAATGAAATAATATAAAAGTGCATTTAAGCCTCTTTGAAGAGGGATAAACCTAAAGTGGTAGCAACATTAAGTTTCTAATCCTCTAAAACGCTAAATGAATAAGAAACACAAATTCAAAGATGTACTTCTCTATCTCAAGAACCATTATTATGTAAAATCAAAGAAACACTGGGAAAGCTAAGGCAAAGTGTTCCTCCACGTGACTTTACCATTTTTCTAGAGACATGGCTAATGAATGAAAATACAAGGGCTGGGGGAATCCCAACCATTCCAAACAATCAAATAGGCTGCATTAATTCAAAGCAGGTACAGTTTATATGATATTTAGAATTGTGTATTTCCTTACTTTTTGTACTTCCTTAAGAACCTGAACCTAAATATTGTCATCATAATGTTGGTTTACAGCCTTAGTCATCTAAACATATTAAGTTTCATTTGATGAACCAAAGGACCTTGTTGTGCCTCTTGGAACAGAAGGTATCCCTCTTTAAATAATGTTTAAGCATAATTTGGTTTAAATGGATCATAATTAGGCATATGTCATAGGAAAGTGAATTTTCAAGGTAGCTAGTGAATCAAATATGTACATTAGCAAATCAATATACTAGCTAAGAGCACAGAATTTGAAGTCAGGTGGACATGGATTTGGTCATGAACCCTTGTTCATCCCTTTTCCTCTCTTCTCTTCTTCCTCCCTCTCTCCTTCCTCCTCCTCCTTCCTTTATTAAAATCTATTCAGTATTTACTATATGCTGGATCTATGCCATAAGCTAGGGAACCAATTACTTCACATTTTCTGAGAGGGAACATGGAATGCTTATAGCAAAGAAATGTGTGGTGTGCCACATAAGCAAAAGTGCAGATGCAGAAATGGGGTGATGAGAGGTAAATAGTGGGTTGTAAAGATGGAAAGACAGGTGGAAGTCAGGTTGTGGAGGGCCCTGAATGCCAGGATAAGCAGTCTCAAATTAACACACAGAGGACTGGCTGGCAATGAGAAGCAAGTGACTAGGGAGATAGTCTAATCCAGGCAGGTCAAAGGATGGGAATATTTCAAGAAGGAGAGATTACTCAGTATTTCAGAGAAGCCAGGAAAGAATTGGATTTGATCGTTAGAAGGATGTTGATGACCTTTACCATAACAGAGTGTTGAGGTTGGATACCAGACAGGGATAAAAGAAAAGGATTGGGAGTGTAAAATTTGAGCCTGATGGGCCAAGAGTTCCCAGGGAATGATAAACAGAATGGAAAGCAAACAGTTTGGAGTAGTAAAGAAGCAGCAGCAAGGCCAATGGCAGATACATTTTTTTCTAATGTGAAGCATTACCATGGATGTGTGAAGGTAAGAGACCAAAGTAGAGAGAAGATTCCAGGGCGAGAGAATGCAAGCTGAGAGTTGAAAGTTAGCACCGACAGCTGAAGTGGAGGGGAAGCCTTGCCCAGAGTACTTCCTCTAAGACTGAAGGGCTTGACTCCACACCGAGATATCCTTTGTAGCAGGGAGGGAAAGAAGGTAAGATTTATCGGTGTTCTCCAGGTGGGCACTTACTAGAAGAGTGGCAACATTAGGCCACAAAAAGACTAAGTGACTACAGCTGCAGAAAGACAAACATAAAAGAGTTTAGCCCATCAATAGGTTCAGTAGGAGCACTGAACTAGGTGATTCATATCCTAGAAACTTTTCTAGGTTCTTCTGCTGTGTTATAGGGAGGGGTGCCGGTGGCAGTGCAGAGGCTCAAAGAAATGTAAAATCCTCTTGATCACTCTCCCTCTGCAAACAGCGGTGCTGCCTTGTATCCACTATCCTTTGTGCTATGAGTGACCAAATACAGAGAAAGCTGAAGGTTCAAACGAATGGGCATTTATGTAGAGATAAGCACATCTTACAAGTTAGTGCTTATAAAAGAGGGCCACTCAGCTCTGTGTGAATATGCCTAGTCTGCCTTCAAAAGATCAGCTCCAGAAACCTTGCTGTCAGCCTGCTCCAACTTGTATACACTTTTCCTCCATCCCACCTCTCAGTCCTAAGGGACAGATAATAGAGCTTCTGAGCATTTCAGATCTGTTTTTATCTTTATTTGAGCTCCTGACTGGGAGCAAGGCAGCAGAGGGCTAGAAGCTGGCCACAATGCCCTCAGGGATGACCAGTAGACCACGGCTCGCACCCCAGGGATTGCCAGAGCTGGGATGGCAGGCCGGCGTGCTCAGACTAGAGGATCCCGCGGGTGGGGGAGAGTAGTGGCGTGCACTTGGAAGCGCAGAGTAAGTGCGTTTGGCGGGAGAGGGCACAGTGCTGACTGGGCATCTTTGCTTGGGAACCTTTCCTTTCGCAGGAGCCTATCTGTGCCAACGCTGGAAACTGGGGCTGCAGGTGGGGGGCGGGTGTCAGCCAGGAGCACTGACCCTCCTGGCCCTGGGGGTGCCAGAGGAGTTAGGGGGAGCCCGGGGAACAAGCCAGGGAGGGCCTGGTCTCTGCTCCAGTCCACAAATCCTTAACGGATTTTCTTTCTCTCCCTTCACCCTTTTCTCCCCTTTGCTCTCTTTCTTTCCTTCTCCCTCTCTCTCTCTCTCCCTCCTTTTTTCCTTTTTCCCTCTCTTTTCCCCCTCCCTCCCCACCCTTCCCCTTCCTTCCCATCCCCCTTCCCATCCCCCCTCCCTGTGTGCGAGCCTCTTCCTCTCCCCTCCTCCCCTTTTCCGCCTCTCTCCCTCTCTCCGCGTCTCCTTCTCCCTCTCAGCTCGCCGGGCGACCCTGCTCCTGCCTCCCACATTAATGGCGGCATCTTCGGAGGACGATATAGACCGGCGGCCCATCAGAAGAGTCCGCTCCAAGAGCGACACGCCGTACCTGGCGGAGGCCCGAATCTCCTTCAACCTCGGGGCAGGTAAGGACGCCCCTCGGCCGCCTCCCGCGCCGCCCGCCCCGCGCCCCGGCCCGGCCCGGCCCCTCCCGGCGCCGCCCCCACCCGCTGCCCCCCGCCCGGCTCGCTCGCTCGCTCTTTGTGTCGCCTGTGCGAGGAGGGCGCGTGTGTGCGCGCGCGAGGGAGGGAGCGAGCGATGCAGGTGGGGGAGGGCAGTGCGTGGAGCCCTGCAGCCGCCCGGGGGTCACCCTCGGGCTTCCCCGGTGAAAGTGCTGCGGTGACAACCACGATCCCGGGGACAGCCCGGGCCGGGGCGGCGTGCGGTGCGCGGGCTGCGGGCGGAGGGGCGGGCGAGGCTCCGCGGGTGCGGGTTGCCTGCCAGGCTACTACAGGGTGGAACTTGTTGGTGACATTCAGACTCTGGGGACGTTGACAGGGGAATTCGGCGTCCGCGGCAGGGTCGGAGCGAGGAGGGGGGCGGGGCTGAGTGCGGGGAGCAGAACCGCTTCCTGGCACCCAGCAGTTGGAAAGCGCCGGTGGTAGTGCTCAGAATAACGTGGTCTACGAGACACACGTGAGCTGATTGGATGCTGTCGCTGCAACTGGAGCCCCAAGTGGCCCAGGGAGAAGTAAGGAAAAAAGGGTAATTGAGGTAGGGGAGGGAGGGACGGAGGGAGAGAGGGAATGAGGGAAGAAGGAAGGAAGGATGAAAGAAGTGAGAACCAGAAAGAGGACTGAGGGATTCAGTCAAAACTTCTTCAAACCAAAAAAGCCCAGAGTCTCCTGACCCCTCCCCCTCCGTATCTTACCACCCGGTGCTCACCACCACTGAGAGGAAGTTCACGAACTTCGTCGTGCTGCCTTTTCTGAATGATGCCTGAGTCTCAACCTTAGCTCAGGTCTCTTCCTCCCCAGGGTCTCTTTCTGTTCTAGCACCTCCCAAGCATAAAGAGTGAGTGCATTCGCCTGAAAACTCTCTTTCAAAATAAAGTTTAAAAAGCAGGCAATACCTTTTTCTTTAGGAACTTAATCCCTTGAAAACAAGACTGAATCAAATGAAGTGTTGTGTATTGTATGCGTGTGCATGTGTTGGAGCAAAGAGAATCTTCAAGTGATGGGTATTTGATGGATCTTTTATGCCCTGTTGAGAAGTTGGAGCAAGAGAGAAAACTCAGCCCAGAGACACAAGACCTGGTGGCTAAGTAACCATATCTTTATGGTTGGACGAAGGGTGACTGAATGTAACAGCAGCCGGATGTCTTGGAGTGTAATGTTCCTGCCGTGGTGCCTTTTTTTTTTTTTTTTAAATAATAGGTATCCTGTCGCTTCTTGAATGTTTGCCTTTGATTTTGGGTTGAGGACAAAAAAACTTTACTGAGAAAGTTTTGGTAGTTTTGGGTGCTTCCTGGAATAGTCAATGGTGCTCACTTTGGAATTATGAATCCCCTACCTGTATGTTCCAGCTTTGACATGTGATTGTTAGAGGTTTTGTAAAGGAATGAGAAGAGTTTCTTTTAGGAACAAGATTGTCTTCCCAACTCAGTGATATTAGGAATTATACTATTGACTCCTTCGCTAACAAATTTGACTCTATACCCTTAGTATCCCACTTAGCATAGGAGGAAAATGGTAGCTGTTAGTGAAGGTAGTGTACCTCGTACAAGTGCATTTATAACAATAGAGCAAAATAAAGCCCTGGAAAGGAGTGTCAAGTTTCAGCTCCTACTCAATCACACACAGCCACTTTGCCACCAGATTAGACCCCGTGACTTGCAATCTTTTATTCTGGTGAAATTGCTCTGGAGTCCAATTAAAAGATTGGCTCAGGCAGGATTTGTCTCCCTTTCATCTGGAAACAAGCCAGACAGACAGACA